TCCATGTGTATTTCTTTTGCTCCCTGGAATCCATATGGGCTCTTCTAGATCCTGTGGGAACCTGACGGTTCTAGCTTAGGTTTGTGATCCTAATCTTACACCTGGGGATAGAAATCAGGGGGTTATCACTGAGGCATGGGGTGATACTCAACACCACTACTTAGGGTCTATGCTGAGGTAGGTGTCTCAGTTCCCATGCAGTGAAGATGTAGTCAACAAGGTGAAATCGAGAGAGCTTCTCAGCTCGCCCTGCAGCAGCACCCTGCAGTAGGACCCTGTGCTAAACAGCTGAATTTCTTTCTGGTTTCTGTTAACTGTATTGTCATATGATATAACTCAGATGATTGAATGTAGGTGTCTGATGTCATTTGGGCTACCTGAGGGTGTCCTGCCATTCCAAAAGATTTCAGTCTCCAATAGTTCCCACATCAAATTTGGCAGTCCCGTCAACCTTAGGACCCTTAACTGGCATCAAGCAACTACATATGGGGAACTGGACTGAGTCCACTTGTGCCTTTTGCTTTCACCAGCAGTTCCTTTTGTTTTCCTTCCTTCTCCCTCAAGTGTAGTTCAAATTTTAGTTAGGCAAGATTTGCTTTTGCGTTTTAGTTAACAACGGTCTTAACTCAGGTCATTGGGAGTGTTTCAAAGCTCAGAAAAGTTCTTCATATCTTTTTCATCTGCACTTCACAAACATATTGTTTTAATGAGACTGAAACAAAGTTCAGGAATTGGTCAGTACTCAGTGTCTGCGCTGATATTTAGATCAGATTTAGGCTTTGCTACTTGCACCAATCTCTCTGAATACAAAAATAACAGTGTATATGACAATAGTGTGTCTTTTGCAAGCAGCTAATATTTAAGAACATTGTTCCTTTAAAATTCACTATATTTTCAAAGTAGGTTGTGCATTGATGAGTATTTTTGGAATCAGCATTTGAGCAAATGAGAGGAAAGATTAGGAGTAATTCCCTACAACATGGATTTTACCTGGAAGGGGCCAGATCGTCTGCTGGTGAAAACTGTCACATATTTGTGAAAATGCAGAAAAATGCCTGATTTAAACTTCCTTGCACCGTCTGTAGCTTCCTCATTTGCTTTGCATGTCCACAAAATTTACAAGACAGTGAGGAGTAAGGGTTGGCTTTGGGTGACTGGATGGCTGTACTTCATGAACAGGTGATAATTTTAGGTTTGTGTTGTGCCTGCTTAAATAGATATAAATGGAAACTGCGCATTAGGAAAGAAGCTGAATGCTTCAGCCAGACTTGTTAATGTATACAGTGTTACTTATTTATTTTAGATGGCAAAGAATTTGATGCATTTGTGTCCTATGCAAAGCTAGACTCTTCTGAAAGTGACTCTACTTTAATTAGTGAGGAAAAATTTGCCCTGGAGCTTCTTCCAGACATGCTGGAAAATAAATACGGATACAAGTTATGCATTCTTGAAAGAGATATTCTTCCAGGAGGAGGTAAGGTCCCTATGGATGGTAGAAAATCTTCAGTTCTTTAAAATTGTTTTTCATTTTCCAAAAAACCTTATGCACCAGATCAGCAAACAGTATATTTTGGTACTGGAGTTTCTGCTCAAATCTCATTGTGATTTGATCTTTATATCTGGCCGCTGCTGCTGAGACATATGTACGTTTGAGTGTGGTCGCTGGGAGCTACTGGGCTGAGACAAAGCTTCTTGTCCAAGGATTTCTTTGCAAGCAGACTCCATTCCCTGAATAGAAGACCCCAAATATTTCAGTAGTTACTTTCTGAGCAACTTTAGTCAGTGTTACCTGCATTAATTAGAAAGGCCTCAGTACTTGTCCCTGGGAGAGACAAAGTCAAGTCCAAGTGTCTCTTGAGACCCTGTTTGAGTAGCAACAAAGTGTGTTGAGGTCTCAGCTGTGTCCTCCACCTCCTGTGCAGCCAGTTGTGTTCTCCAGGCTGCGTTCGAATGGCAGCAGTACCCTCTGATAGCAAACACATTTCTAGGGGTTATATGATTGCTCAGCATCCCTCTTTTTGGTTTTCCTTATTTCTGGCTTTTAGCTGTTGTGGTAAAGGAATGGATAAGATAGAAAGTCCGTTATGGAATGCAGTAATGATCACCATTTCTTCTCCAGCGTACACAGATGAAGTTGTTGCAGCTATTAAACAAAGCAGACGAGCAATAATTATTTTAAGCCCAGCCTACGTCAGCGGACCAAGCATCTTTGAACTGCAGGCAGCGGTGAACTGTGCATTGGAAGACAAAAAGATCAAACTGGTATTAATAAAGTTTCAGGCCTTCCAAGAGCCAGAGACTTTGCCCCCAGTAGTGAAGAAAGCTCTTCGGATTTTACCAGTCGTTACTTGGAAGTCTTCTATTTCTGCTGCTCCAAACAAGAAGTTCTGGAAATACGTGCATTACCACATGCCAGTGAAAACTACTAAGATGTTGGGAAATTGCAGCCTGAAGGGCTTTTTCCAAAGGTTATTCAGCCTGGTATATCGATAGCAGAAATTTCACAGAGGGATGCCAGCAGGCTCAGGAATGGTGACGTGATTGTAAAAGACCTTTTGGCTGACCACTGTGGACTGTCACTGCAGTCAGCAATAGCTGACTCCAAAACAGCGAGAAGGACTGCAGTGTGACAGTGCTAAGTGGCACTGCACACAACTGTAAATATGAGCTGTCTTTCATAAATTATTATTTTGTTATTGTTTTTATTATATTTATTATATTATTTTGCTGTGATGTTGAGACATATAGGTGAATGTTTTGTTCTTTGCACTGTATTTCTTCTGGAAGATTTTTATACTTGTTTTCTAGAAAAAGATTAAAAAAGAGAAGTCCAGACGAAGCTTACAGTTTAATTTTCCTGTGCAGTTCAGTGGGACAAATCGAAATGCTTTGGACGCGTTACCTCCTCCTGTGGGTGCACCAAGGAAGTATCATGGGAGACTGCTGCAACCAGGCATGCTGAAGGGGTTGAGAAAAGAAGGAGCACTGTGTCAGGGCTGGTCCGAGGCATCTCCACCCTTCCTGCAATGGGAGAAAGCATTCCTACCAGTTATGAAACATTTCACATGGAGAGACATCTGCACATCGCTGATCCTGTCTGGTGCTGGTCACCCATAGGTCCCACCGAACCTATTGGTATTATGAGTGTGTTGCAGTTGTAAATCAAAGTCCTGGTTGTCATAGCTAGTAGACTTCCAGGGAGCCTGAAGTCTTTCCCTTGCAGTCCTCTGGCTGCTGGCTCTCTAGGGTTTGTATCACTTTCTCTCAAGGCACCTTGCAGTCTGTGTGTGTATGGCTGTAGCTAAGTGAAATGCAATGGTTAGTGTTAAGAAAATGAGAGTTGGAGACCAACTGATCTGGTGTTCTGCTGACTTCATTTGGCCTTACTGTTAACAAATCCTTGTTTTGTAATGCTAATTGAATAGCTCATCTGCCAGATTCCTTGTTGGAAAAGGACTTCAAGAAATATTGTTGTTAACAGGACCAGTATACCGAAAAAAAGAACAACTGTTTTGCAAGCAGGCTGAGCTTTATCTACCTAATTCTGTATAGGGTTCAAAGCCTTCAGTGGAAGGACTGATGGTGGTACTGTGGGGCAGAAGCAGAAGGCAGTGCCTCATGTAGAAACAGAACATCAAATGGCATTGCTGGCTGTACCATAGCAAATTTTGACACTGCAGCTGTAGCTGCATTAGGGATTTAGTTCAGATCATGATAAGCTTTTGAAGCAAATTTCCCAATTGTCACAACTTGTTATCTTTTGCTTTGCATTACAGAGCATCACAGGTGCACACACTGGATCCCTTTCCACAGAAAGTCAAGTGAAAGATATTCTCCACCCGTGAAGGAGGTTCAGTCTGTGGGATCAGCTGGCCTGGAGGGATCCCCTCCCAGACACATGCAGGGGGATGTGGGGCCCCCAGCACTAGTTATTTTGGGGTGCATCTCCATTCTCACTAGTCTGCACTGTTTTCCATCACAACGAAATCAATGGGCAATTTGAATAATTTGTCACTAAATTAAATTTACTCACTTCTAATGCATGTAATACAGGCTTTAGCAGCTTCTAGTCAACACGACTCTGTTTGCACGCTTTGTTATCCTAGCACCAAACATGGCAGTTTTTGTGGAGGAGAGAAGAGGCTGATTTTTAAAAAAAATGTTCCCTAAGGGTGAATGTCGTGTTGGAGGAGGATAATTTGGTTGTCCAGTAAATGCCTTGCAGGCATGAGTAAAACAAATGTCAAAGACAAGAGAACTCAAGATCCAGTTTTAGGCACATGATATGGCTCAGACCTTCCTCTTTCTAGTGTTATAACGTGCTAAGTTCCATACGTGCCTTTAAGAAAGAGAATGTATTTCTAAACGAGAACGTCATTTGTGTGGTCCTCCACCAGATGTCCCTGCTGTAAGCCCTCCGCAGTCCAGGTATTTACACACCAAGGAGTTTTGTCACCAAGTGGGACAGAACCAGTGGGCAGAGCCAGGTGTGGTACCCGAGGTGCCAGTGGTGCTGGGGAGGCAGGCGGGGAGCGGGGGCAGGAGAGGAGAGTACGGAGCAGGCTCTCCTGCCTGCCCAGGGTACCAACATCTCTCCTACCTGATGGTATTTACTCGTGCTGCGCTTGCTGCCTGAATGGTGTGCATTGCAGTTTATTTTTTTTTCTGACAGTGGGAAAAAAAAATCAGAGTGGCTGGATAAATAATGTAGTTGGAAAGGGCTTTTTATTCCTTAACAGGGTGATGCTGTGGCCAAGGTTTATCTGGGTCAGAGGAACCTGCAGAACCGGTATCTTCATACAAACTCCAGGTCCGTCTGTAACACAAGGAACAGGACAGGCACATTAGGGCATTTAAAATGACCTCTAATAGGCAAATGAAGCAGCCCTGAGGAAGAAGCGGCCATGGCTACGAGTGGTGCGAATCAAGAGGAGTGAGTGTTGCATGCCTTAAGGCACCTGCTACATGCTGTATCTGTAATAAAAGACACAGCCCTAGACATGGGCTCTGCCGTGCTTGCACATGCAAAGCTTTTGAACTGGTTGCTGTCGCTGTCGAGTCTGATATGCTGTTCTGCTGCTGCTGATGTGGATGAGCCCAACCTAAGCAAGAGTTCCTTGCCTCGCTATGAACCTGATCAGGGGGGTGCCGTTGGCTCTTCACAAGATACGAGGCTACATGTTTTCACAGTGGACTATGACTATGTGCAAATTCCCTATGAAGTTACTCTTTGGATCCTCCTTGCCTCTCTTGCAAAAATAGGTAAGTAGAAAACGGGATCTTAGGTCCTCCTACCTTGGCAAGAAGTAAAAAATGTACCATGTCACCAAGTATTTTCTATGTACTTTTGTAGCTGGGATTGTTTTTACAGCTTCTGTCCTCAAAAGAACAGGTGTGTTCATTACCATGACAATGACAAAATTCCACCTCTGAATGCTTCCAGCTTACTTAAGTAAATATATGACCTCTAACCCTGCTGTCTCTCGGGTTGTCTATGCTAGTGGATAGCAATGGATTTCCCCTACATAGTGCTGTCCATCCCTTTTTCTAGTCTTTAAGCATCACAAGATATCAGAATTTACAACCTGCCACAGCTGTGGAAATCAGTATCACCGGGCTGAGACTTCAAGCATGTTGAATTTGGGGGAGGAAAGTGGGAAGAATTCTTCTGTTTTGCAACTGATAGGAAACATTTCCCTGTGAGTCTTTGTTGTACACGTTTGCTCTCTAAAGTTGTTCAGAAAGCAATACCAGAGGAGAGGGACTGAGGGTCTAAGAGGGTGTAGGTCATCTGAGATGTAGGGGAAGTGCTTTTTGAATACGTACCAATACATCTAGCTTCTAGTAGAGCTCCATGTAGGTATCTGAATGAAGAAAGACAACTCGTGGAGACGTATGGACGGCAATTAACATAGCAAAAAATGGCTCACCATGTGTCTTACACGTTTGCATGGCTGGGCACAAATTATTTTGACCTTGCAGAATTAATGCAGCAATATCAAATAAATGAAGAAGACGGTAATAATGTAAAGAGCTGCACACATGTGATCTCCCTGTTCTTTTGGTCTTTGCATGGGATTTTCAAACATTGCTATAGAACAGGCTGGTAGGTGCAACTGATGATTTTCTGGAGATGGACTGAAGATCAACATTTTTCATGTCATAGTCACACAATTGGCAAAAATCATTACCACTGACCATGATTTGCCAGTTTCATAATAGCTGATGATCTCAATCCAGTTCCTGTAAACAAATGTTTTCACTGCTAAAATGATAATAAAAACTTTCACAAATCAAATTTCTTTTTATGGCATCAGCAGAGTGTGTTAGCAGTGAACATATTGAGCAATTTCTTTATCCATCATCCATAAAAGCACAGGACTTGCCATGTAGCACATCTACTTGATATTCTTGTTTTGAGCAAGAAACAGATCCTTTAAAAGAACTATGTGATGCCTCCCAAGCAGATCTGTTCCTTAGCTGGGAGTTTTCAAATCATATTATTTTTGATGAAAAGTGTGGATCTGCTGACTTCAAATCTACTTGGAAGAAAGAGTTAGCTTGAATAATCTAGTTACTTGGGGAAGATTTCCAAACTGTTAAAATTTTCAGTGTCTTATTCAGGTATTATCTTCTTTCTGGATTTCAGGATTTCAAGGTGGGGAACATTTCTGAGATCTTGAAAGGCAAAACAATCCCCTTATTCTGTAAAACTGACAGAAGACTTGAACATGATTTTTTTTTAATTAAGAAAGGAGATAAGTAGAGTTATGATCTTAACATACTTTTTGTTAAAAATTTATAAATTATTTAAAATTTCATAAAAATATTTTTCTTTTCCTTTACTCTTGAACAATGATAATTCGAGAGTCACAGAAATGCAGTGATGGCACCAGCTTCTAGAGTTACCGGATGAAGGTTGACCTAGCTTCAGGTCAACACAGCCATGTTATTATAAATCCAACATCGCCGTTTGATTTATAGGTTTCTTAGTCTGTCTCATTCTCATTCTTGTAAATTCTGAAAAATTCCTTACATTTCTAACGGAGGCACCTCTCATGCGCAATATGGATACACAGTTCCTGGAATAGTGACTAGGTGAGCCATTGCTGGACATTATCTTTGTATTGGTGTCAGTATTGATGTCAAACAGGAAGAATTATATGAGTGCAGTTGCAGTAGTAGTATCAAGGCGGGCAGGAGGAGATTCTCACCCACACCATTTATATGCTAAATGTAGCCCTTTCTCTGTAAAAAAAGCTTGTCTATGCTTGTAAACCAGGAAGCCTGTGTGACTGTGGGTACCACGTCGAAGTTGGTGTGCTCCCTCTCGGCTCCAGCCCACCTGGAGAAGCCTTCTCCCTGGCAGTGCCCCGGCAGACTATGGGCCAGGGTCTGCTCCCATGGGCGGTTTGGATGTGACCGCTTCTTGCTGGGGCAGGGAAGAGAAATTGGCTGTATGGATGCAAGACAAACCTTTCTGCTTGGAAAGGTTTTTGGCCTGCTTAATTTGTTAGTGTAGACTCCGCCTTTATTCTAGTGAGGAAAAGAAAAATCCCTTAGGAGGCATTATGTTCTCAGACATTTGATGGCTGCTGGTAGTTCTTCCAGCTCTGCTGAAACCACTGGTTTTGTTTCGGAAACTAACTCACAAGGTTGTTTACAAAATGTTGTTTACCTTATGTAGGGACAGCACTTTTCCCAGAAAAAGCAAGGTTAATCAGCTTTTACAAAGCCTACTGTGGATTGATTCCTGGTGCCTTGGCTATTTTGTTCTTTATGAGTACCCACTCCCTCTCTCTGTGGATCACCTGGAATCCATGCAATGTTTCAGGGGAGTGCTGGAAGAGGAGGGAGCTGCGCAGACCGTGGCATCTGAGCTGCTCTCTGCTCCCTTGGGCTTCTCCAGGTTCCTGGTCGGCCCAAATCCAGCTGGAGCCAGGGACCCTCCTCAGCACTGCGGGGAGCTGTCTTCGAACCTGCAGCCAGGAATTGGGGTCTCTTTGGGATGGAGGGACAATTCTGGACCTCAGAGGTTTGGCAGTAGCTGTTAGGCAGCAAGGATTTTTGAAGAATATTTTCCTTCCAAATTGTGGAGTACCCTTTCAAAGAGGTTTCTGCATTCCTAGACGTAGAGCTTAGATTCAGGCACATTTGCACAGAAATTGAGGGCTGGGGAGCAGGAAGAGAAGAGATTCATGGCCAAACTCTTCCCCTGCTTTAGTGATATCAGTCTGGGAATGTTTAATTTTGAAAGGAGGAGTATTGCCTGTTTTTACATTCATAATCCTAAGAGCAAAACCTGGCTTCCTGATGACAAAATATTCAAAGGCAGGCAAAACACCTGTCTGGCATCAGGTTAATTTGAACTTGAATAATACCCTAATGTTTTATTCAAGGTTTCCATCTCTATCACCGATTACCAAGACTCATGCCCGAAAGCTGCATCCTGATTGCCATTGGAGCACTAGTAGGAGCGATCATCTTTGTTTCTGATCACAAATCTCCACCGGTGATGAACACAAGTATTTACTTCTTGTATCTCCTTCCACCCATTGTCCTGGAGGAGGGTTATTTCATGCCAACTCGCCCATTTTTTGAAAACTTTGGGTCCATCCTGTGGTGGTCCGTGCTGGGATCCCTGCTAAACTCGTTTGGGATCGGACTCTCCCTCTACGGAGTCTGCCAGATCGAAGCCTTTGGCCTGACTGACCTGAACCTGCTGCAGAACCTGCTCTTTGGCAGCATGATTTCAGCTGTGGATCCTGCAGCAGCTCTGGTAGTTTTTGAAGAAGCCTCCGTTAATGAGCAGCTTTACATGATGATCTTTGGAGAGTCATTGCTAAATGATGGCATAACTGTGGTGAGTTTCTTTCCACTCCTTCTCTTCCCCTCTTTGGGCTTTTGTGGCTTGTAGGGTTATTGGGTGCTGGACAAGAGCAGGTCTAAGGAGATCCTAGATACGTTATTTATTTTATGGATACTCCACTCCATTACACACAAGTAATTTTGATGTGTGTAAAGATATATATTATATTAACTCTTTCAAAAACCTATTGTTTTAGAGCTACTGAAAGAGGGAAGCATACACATACACATTAGACATCACATCTTGCTCTTACATTCACTGAAGTGAACGGACAAGCTACAGCTGATTTTGCTGGTAGGATCAGTGTAAGACCTAGGAATGTTCTTGACATAGTGCAAGCAAATAAATAGAAAATTGTACTGCTTAGGGACTGAAGGCAGCAGGGGTAGCAATACAGGAGACGCTGCCTTGTCAGAAGCCTTGAAGAGCCCTCTGCAAAAAAAAAAAAAGAAAAAAAAAAAGCCAGATGTGGACAACCTCTGGAGGCTGCACTCTGTCCTCCAGCCCCTTCCAGGAAGTTCTCTGGAGAACTCAGACAGAAATTCCAAAAGCCACCGATAACTTTGCATTACTCTGTTTCGATCAGTAAAAAAATTGACATCTGACAAATATTCACCTCTTTTGGCGGTCTTATCTCAAGTGTCCAGAAACAATGCTTCTGGAATAAGAGAGATTTTATTTGTTGGTTTTTGTTGTTTGGATTTTTTTAAAGCAGGAAAAGAGTGTTTTTACAGGGCTCATTTTGCTAATGCTTTTCCCCTTTTCTCGTTAGTTCTACTAAAACTTGGAGCAAACTGAAATTCTAGCTGTGAACCACAATTGACAAAAACACTTAGAACACACATGTTTTTCAAGGAAGATATTTCAAGCAGGAAATTAATTGCTCAGAAACCAACTGGACTGCCCATGCTTAACAGCAGGTTAAGGAGTTTCGCTAGATAAGATCTTTACAGAATTTGAATCACAGGAATCTAAAATACACAAAAACTATTCAGATACTGTTATATACGAGGTAAGCACAACTTGGACTTGTAAAATCTGTACAGAGTTCATTGCTGAAAGGCTTCATGGGAGAAATGCAGTTTATGAGTAATACGAAAAGGAAAAGGAATGAAGTAATTTCTTGCAGCCGCAGCCTATTGATCATACACCCTTCCTCTGGGTCAATCAGAGGTGTAGCGCTGATGTAGAACTAAGGGACAAATGTTACTTAATTTTACATGCAAACTGCTTATGTGTTATAGTTGTAACAAAAAAATCCCCGATGCATCTATCAATTCCACTTGTCCTTTTGGTTCCTTCAAGTGGAGACCCCAAACTAATAGCTCTTCCTGGCTCTGGAAGAGCTTGGCCCATCCTTTTTTTTTTGACTGGCTCTCTACCTTGCCTTCCTTTGGTTCCCAGCTGTTATTGATGATGTAGGTCCAACTCATGATGGTATTTACATGAGCTTTCAGTCAGAATCCTGTGATAGCACAAATGTGTAATGACAGAAAGCCTTTAAAACCAGTGGTATTTAGGTGTTCCTCAGCAGCACGAGGTGTGTTAACAAAAGAGATGGAAGGGCTGTACACGGGGAGTGTTGGCTACACCCCTGTGAGTTCCCTTTGCCCCATGTGCCCTCCTCTTTGGGGCTCTTCTCCCAGCAATCAGTTTGTCTGCTCTTGCATCATCCACCTCTCATCCATTTTCTGGGCATTCCAGTTTTCAAAATCTTTACGTGGCTTCATGTTTGAGAAGACTGAAGTATTTGTCACCTGGATGGAGCCCAATAGGTGGCTTTCTCCTCTCTCATACCCCACTTGCTTCTTAAAAGACTTTAAAACTGTTTATCTTGGGTGTCTTATCTTACCATTTCCTCCTCATTTCTCTCTTAACAGTTTCCTTTGAGTTAACTCTATGTGTTTAAAAAGATATCATCAAGATACATTAAGCATACTTTTTTTTTCACTGTTTAAATACAAATATCCCCTGGTTCTCTCCAGTCTGCTTATCAGCTTGAACATATTTTTTCCTCAGCAGGA